GAATCTGCCTCAAAACCCGATTCTGGGCGAATTACGGGCTTAATTACGGTCGTAATTCTTCCATGCCCGTATTTTGCACAAAACACGCGTTTTGGTTAAGTTTCAGCGCACCCAAAGCTCCTCTCGGCAGTGAAAATACGGGCATGGGAGGTGAAAATACGGTCGTAATTCTCCTCCCCGTAATTCTTCCTCCGCTCCTGTTCAAAGCTTCGTTTCTCCCTCGTCCGGACTCCAAATCAGTCGCCGTTTGAACCCAGACGCTCGTAGTCTCGTCCTCTTTATTTTCATAACAAACTTCCATGATAATTTGTCCATAATATGAGGTAGAAATCCATTATTCCTCAGGTCATGCTCGTGTTTCTTCTCCCGAATTGCCAAATGATCTCCGATTGACTTGAAACTTGTGCCTACGCTTTACTTTATGTGCTAGGGCCTGAAATGTGACAAAGGAACACAGCCTAGCATAAAATAGGCCAAAGAAGCGATAATGCAAGCTTAAACAATCAAGAAACAAAGGGGAAAAGAAGCGATAATGCAAGCATAAAATAGGCAAAGAAGCGATAATGCAAGCTTAACCAGCCAGGGGAATTTCACGAGAATGGACCAGAACATAACCTCACTGGAGGCAGGCCTGAGGAACCAGGGTGCCATTTTGCAAGATTTATAGAACTAGGTTGGTAGCATAGCTCGCCAAATTAATACCTGAGCCTCGAGAACTCTACCTGCTACTACCATCCCCAATCCACGGGAGCCGCACCAGCAGCTGAATGCCATCACCACCGGGAATGGCAAGTCCACATCGGCGGTTCCTGCCCAAGCCAGGGAGGAAGAGCCACTACTTGCTTCAGCACTTCCAGCCGACGATGCAGAAGTGAGGGTGGAGAAGGAAGCCCCTACTCCCAAGCCACAACCAGTGGTTAAGGAGCATGTACCCCAGCTTCCCTTCCCCACTCGACTACATAAAGATAAGCTGGAGACTGAGTTTGCCAAGTTCATGGCAATGTTGAAGCAGCTCAATGTCAGCATACCCTTCATGGAAGCACTGTCGAAGATGCCCAAGTATGCCAAGTTCATGAAGGATCTCCTCAGCAACAAGAAGAAACTTGGGGATCTTTCGACAGTGATGCGGAGCGAGGAGTGTTTTGCTATCCTGCAGAACAAGCTGCCCGAAAAGTGCAAAGACCCAGGGAGTTTCACTATCCCTCTTAATATTGGCAGCATGCATTTAGGGAAGTTCTTGGCGGACCTAGGCGCTAGTATAAATGTCATGCCATACAATCTATTTAAAAAGCTAGACCTAGGTGAACTTAGCCCTGCTAGGATGAGCATTTAGTTAGCTGATCGCTCTATTGTGCATCCTCGGGGTATCATAGAGGATCTGCTTGTTAAATTAGGCGCATTTGCATATCCTGTTGATTTTGTTGTTCTAGATATAAATGAGGATGTGGAGGTGCCTTTGATTTTGGGTAGACCATTTCTTGCCACCGCCAAGGTACTTATTGATGTGCATAGTGGTAAATTGATCTTGCGTGCTGGGAATGAACAGGCTACTTTTTCTGTGGCTGACCTTGATCATTGTGATATGCCTGCTGTCACACCCATGCATGCTATTTCTCACCATGTACACGAGCCTGTCGTGTACCCCTCTGTGCCTCTCGTTTTGCAGGACTCCCCTCTCACGCCTTCGCTGCCACTCCCGGCAACCTCACTTCCCAATAAAAAGCTCAAGGAGGAGTGGCGCCCGAAGAAGCAGGTGGCTAAGCCTGCTCGGAAGAAAGGTAGAGACCCTTATGAGCTGGTCCCACCTCCTGCACCATGACCACCCTGGTTGTCCGATTACTCACCCGCCTGTATCTTGCCGGATGGCCAGGTCGAGATGACCAATGCTGGTGGTCGCACCCGCCGGGTGCATGGCCACAATTTGAAGTTGTACCTCAAGAGCGATGTGGATCCGCTCTTGGAGGCACCTGTTCCTGCACCCCACTCAGTATCCACCATGGGCGTCCAGCTAAAAGACAGTAAAGAAGCGCTTGGGGGAGGCAACCCAACCGCGGTTTACATTTATTTCTTTTGTTTTGGGTTGGATTGTAAACAGGTTTGGTTTTGGTTTGTTTTATTTTGTTTTGGATGATGTATTATTGGGCTGACCATTGGACCTAACGGATTGTGTTTGAGTTCTTCTGTTTCCTTTAGCTGTGCTTTGTCCCTGAATGGTCCCCTCTCCAGTCCTCTTCACTCAGACTAGTCCGCTTCTAGTCTCATGTAGTCCGTGCACACCGGTAACATCGTTCCCCTTATCCTTCCCTCTTCTCCATTGAGGGAAATGTCGATCTTAAGTGTGGGGGGATGTTTCTCTTTTGACTACATTAGATCTGTTTGTGTGCTTGGAACCTAGTCCACTGTCCAGATTTTTAAATTTGAGGGCTCCAAGTACGTGTTTCCTTGCGAATTGCCTGCTCAGTATGCTTTGAATTGACAGTCTCTATAGTAATGTGCAACCTAGGGAGGTAGTGTAGCACTATGGAGGATGTTGAAGTATAAGATTTTCCTATCCAGCTCTCTGCTGTGCCAGTTGATTTTGTGAATTAGTGGAGATAAGACCGTTGAATTCATGTGATAATGGTGACTCTATTTGGATTGTGTTGTGGACTCGTGTATCGAACAGGGTGCTCATGTGAAAAATGAAATGCAGTTGGTTCTCCATGTCAAAATCTTTAAATCTTAAACATGGGGTAAGCCCAACGTGTGCGGCACCGTTCATTGCACAAAGTCGGGTTTTGGAAGAGATTTTAGTGATCCTTAGTAGGGTACTCCTACAAGGTGAAGCTAAGCCGTCTCTAGTACAAGTAACACTTCCACCCGTTGAACGGTTTGCCTACTTAAGGATGTGTTTTTAAGGGCATGGATAGAGCTTCCGACCCCCCTTAATTTCATTGACCCTCCACACGAGTTGAGGAAAAGGAGTTAAAAGAAGTACTCTGGCGAGCGCCAGATGTACAGAAATTGCTCTTGCTTGACTAATAAGAGTCGACCGTGCGAAAGACTGCAGTTGGAACCCCCGCTAAGTGAATGAAAAATGAAAAAAAAGAAGTAAAATGGAAGTGAAAAGGGGTTCCAACGGTGAAATGAAGTGAAAGAGCACCCCCGGTATCGCAAGTCCTTGATTGTGAATCGGGTGAGTCCCTTTTATCCATGAACTGACTGTCTTACTTCAACTGCTTCTCATGATCCTGGTTTGAGTCTAGTACTCGCATTGAGAGAGATAGGGAACGTCTTAGAAAACTAGTTGACCTCGTAAGTTGCTATATGATCTACAAAATCCTCTACCGACGATCGGAGTTGTTTGTTGCTATAGAGGTCTGGAGAGTTGCATTGGTTTGAGTTAAGTTGGCTTGGGGACAAGCAAACGGTTAAGTGTGGCGGAGTTTGATAGACCATTGATTACACATGTTTTTACCCCTATTCTTGAGCCGTTTGAGATGTCGATTCTCGCGTTTTAGGCCGATTTCACGCTAGGTTGTTCTTGTTTGTGATATTTCAGGTCCTAGTACGTGAATGAAGGTTTGGGAACGAGTTCGGGGTCGATTGGATAAAGATTGGACATGTGGCGTGAAGCTGATGGAGCCACACGGGCACGCCTAAAACCTACACGGCCGTGTGGCCTAGCCGTGTGGCACCAAATTGCACTGGCAAAGTCACACGGGTCATGTAGGGGACCCCCTGTGGCCGTGTGGAAATTCTAGGGAACTCACACGGGCATCCTGGAATTCCACACGGCCGTGTGGGTCGTGGCCGTGTAGGAAGCCTGAGTCACTTATCAAAACGCCGCGGTTTGCACAACTCACACGGGCAGCTGGAGAAGTCACACAGCCGTGTGACCTGGCCGTGTGAGTCGGGAAATTCTGGGGTTTTAACCCAATTTATAACCAAAGGATAGAGTTTCCGAGTTTTAGAGAGAAAAAGTGTGACCTAGAGTGAGAAAGTGACGAACCTGACTCTGCAAGTGTCATAGATCGATCTCCATCACCATTGGAGCCCGGCTTGAGCTTGGAGAAGACCTGATTGAGTGCCAGAAGCAGATTATCATCCTTCACAGTATGGTTACCACATCTGAGCTAGATTTTCCATCTCTCTCTATGGAGTAGTTTTCTTATTCACCTGGGTATGAAGAACCCTAGATCTGTATGTTAGGTCTGATTGTATGAACTCAAGTACAGATTCTGTGGTATGATTATATTCAATTGAGGTTTGATTTGTTGACTGGCATGAATCCTGATCAAATTCCTGTTGTTTCTACTTTAACCTAGAAAGAGAATATCTGCCTAGGTTGATAGAGCACTCTTGATTGAAGGTAGTGAATTGGCGACTTTAGTCGAGAAGTCAATTCACTATTATGTACCGAATTTACTTTAGTAGTGGAGGTTTGGTTCGTTAGGGACTCTATCTGTTTACTCCGGTGGAGTTTAGTCGCCCGCTAGGGACTCAGAGACCTTTAGTCGAGACTTTAGACTGTTTAAGAACCTCCCGCAGTATAACTATCATTGAAATTGAACTTGGTAAATTACAATCCTGCTTAACTGCTGTCTAGGGGGAACCATATCCGGGTGACCTCTCTCGACTTGAAAACAACCGTTTAATTGCTTGCTTGATTGCTTGTTTGGACCTGCATTAAGTGTCACTACTAAATAATAAGAACTCATGGAGTAGTCATCACATCTAGGACCCGGGTTGACATTAAAACCCAAACCCGTTATACTACGCTTTAGGAAGTGGTTACACTTGGCCATTTTCTAGAGTGACGGTTGGAGCGAGTCAATAGGTATCTCCAATAAATGAACATGTATAATAGTTGTAGTGCAGTGGTAAAACTCCAAGCTTGTTCATGGGAGGTTGCATGTTTGAACCTTGTCTTCTGCATCCTTACCCTTGTTTCTTTGCACCTTTTAATTGTTTAATTTTAATAGCTCTCTTGCTCCACAAAAACGAGAACAAAGCCCTAAATGGCTAAATCCCAATTCATTTTCGGGAAACTGAGTTCTTCCTCGTGCGTAGTGCTTTCCCCCAAATTTCTCCCGCCTCGTCATCCCTCTTCATCTACGTTCACTCGCCGAGACTCCAGACTCGACTTCTTCGGCCAACTGGAGGTCATAGTCACACATTCCGTCGCTGTTGCTGTTGTCGTTGAGACTCAAGACTCAGCTTCTTCGCCCGATCACCATCTCATCTCCGTCCATTCTCTACTCGCTATCACAAAGTCGTCGAAGACTTTCATCTCTGTATGTGCTTCTTTGCCCCTAAAGGTCGCCCATTCTGTCCTATAGAGGGTACGTTTACTGCTCCCTCTAGTTTATGCAGCTCTGATTCTTATTTTTGGTGATTTGTGGAATTGATAGGTTTTTTTTATGTGTAATTTGGTTTTCGGTTTGGTAATTGAGTATTCGATTGACGATTGATTAATTTAGTGGATAATGCACTGGAATTGGAGAATGAAAATTTTCATACAAGATTGTCTCAATTCTCAAACATCTATGGTAAATTAGGGGCAGGGGAGAAATAAGTGTGCGTATACTGTCAAATTAGAATGAAATGGTTTTGTGTTTACTTTGAATTTGGATTACAAAATGTGTTCATGTTTTATTGGTTTGGTTCTCGATTGACAATGTTAATGACCTTAAATTTATGTATTGTTTTGGTTAGTTACCATGAAGAGGAAACAAAAGAAATTAGATGCATATTTTACAAGAAATGTTTTGCCATGCACTAATCATTTGGAAGAGGAAGTACAAGTAGTTCATGGAGCTTTGAACTTGGGCATTGATGAGCGCTCTAATGTTGTGGTGAATGAGGATTCTCTCATTAGTCCGAGAGTGACTAATCCATCCTTCGCCTTAATCGAACGAGATCCTGGACTGCGTAATCCAATGTGGACATTTCCACCTAATAAACGTGATGAGATAAGGCGAGCTTACTTGAGTTATGGCCCCCTACAGGTTGAGCTTCCTGACTTTCCCAGAACTGGTGATCCTTATCATCCTCGCTCTTTCCAAGTTGCATTGTATTCTGAATTCCTTGGGTTGAATACTCGAAATCAAAGGATGCTGCATATTGTCTCTCGTGCTATTTGTTTGCTGAAAAGCCAATTGCTAAATCTGGTTGGGACACATTTGTTAATGAAGGGTTTCGAAATTGGAAAAAGGTTAAAAGTGGAAAAGGTTGTTCATTCAGAAAGCATTGGGAGAAAGCTCAAATTCTCATCACAATGTTGCAGTAAGGAAGCGCGGTGCATTACTACACCAACCTCAGCACATTGACAAAGTGATTGAGAAGCAAAGTTTTGAGGAAGTAAAGAATAATAGAATTCGAGTGAAAGCCTCAATTGATAGTGCTCGTTTGCTAGCACTTCAAGGAGCCGCCTTTAGAGCTCATGATGAGACCCTTCATTCTAAGAATCGTGGCAACTTCATTGAGCTTATTGATTGTTTCTCTTACTACAATGACGAAGTCAAAAGTACTGTGCTAGGTAATGCTCCAAAGAATGCAAAGTATACATCACCCGATATTCAGAAGCAAATTCTCCATGTGCTAGCTAAGAAGGTACGCAACAAAATATTTGAAGAAATAGGAGATTCTAAATTCTCTATCATTGTGGATGGGGCTTGTGATGAGAGTAAACATGAACAAATGGCTATCAATCTTCGATTTGATTAACTCTTTCTTCCCATAAGTTTGCTAGTAATATGCGTGGTGAATGGAATGATTTGAAAGCATTGTTTCTAAAAGACCATCCTGAAGCTTATTAATTGCATTGTATTGCTCATCGTGTTCAATTAGCACTGGTTGCGGCATCTAAAGATGTGACAGCTGTGCACGAGTTTTTCATAGACTTGACACATATTGTAAATGACGTTAATGCTTCTTCTAAGAAGCATGATCAATTGGAAGTTGTTGAAGCAGCTGTGTCTTGGTTTAGTAGAGTCCGGGAAGTCAAAGGACTTCGATCTTGTTGATCGCCTTATTCGTCTTGTTTTTACTCTTCCAGTATCTACTGCTAGTGGGGAACGAGCTTTTTCTGCCATGAAGTTAGTGAACACCAAACTGCACAACAAAATGGGTGTTATTTACTAGCTGATGGTCTTATTATTTATATTGAACGTGATATAGTGGACACTTTTAGTTTAAATGATATTTTGAGTAATTTTATTGTTCTTAAAGAGCGACGTGTACGTTTAAGATAATAAATAATATCAATATATTTTATATTATTACTATTATTTAATTGGTATGTTTGAAAATTTTATTTTTGCCCCCCCCCCCACCAGATTTAGAATCCTGGCATCGCCCCTACGGAGAACTAGTGCCAGCCATCTAGAAATCATTTGAGGGTGTTGGTGGAATTAGGCCGATGGGATTGGCGGAATTCAATCATAAGCATATATGGATGTGTTTGGCCATGGACGAGCTTTTGACCTGCCCCATCGGTAGGTCACTCACTTCATCACATGAGTTCCATCTTAGGAAAGGAGATAATCACGGTCTTTAGAACCCAAGAGAGACACTAATCTTGAGCTAGTCAAAGCGGGTAACTACCAGAAGCCATTTTACTTGGCATGCGACGGTGGCGAAGCTCATATATGTGACTTCCACTCCAATCCTCTTATCTATTCAATTTTTTCGTTGAATTCTTATTTACTATTATTTTTTCCATCTCGGAGTCAGCATCATAACTGACAGACTCTTGGTAAAATTTTAACGAAAAACTAACAAAACACTAACAGCATAACAGAAATGACAGATCAAAAGTTACGTAATGTCAATGGCAATATCGCTAGATTGGTAATTTTAGTGGTATTGGCCCTTTATAATTTGCTCTACATGTAAAGAAAACAATGTTATGTGAAATGTTCATTTCATCATCATATCACTAACAGCATAACCCAAATGATAGATAAAACGTTACGTAATGTAAATGGAAATATCGCTAAAGATTGGTATTTTGGTGGTATTAGACCTTTATAATTTGCTCTACATCTAAAGAAAAATAATGTTATGCGTAGTAATGAAATGTTCATTTCATCATCATATCACTATCATATCACAACTATATCACCAGCTTATCAGCAACATACAACTAGGATAAGAGTATATCAATATCATACCACTACTATATCACTATCCATGTCATATCATCATATATATCACAGTCATATCTGTAACATCCAGAACCTCGGATAAATTTTTTCTTCTTCCAAGTAGCGGACGTATATTGCACGATTCGAGGCTGGAAAAAAATCGAGAAGTTATCCTATACAAGGTAGGATCAACAAAACCACTTGAAAACTATCCAAACATCAAAAAGTACAAAAAAAAAAAAACGGTTATTCATAGGAATCGAACCACTGACATGTTGGTCACAAAGAAAGGGTCCAACAACCTCATCACTTGGACTATGCTGATTTCAGTTATACAAAGTGGCCGAGTCATTAATGACCTAATGACGTAGCCATTGCACCAGCAGCTAGCTTGTTTATGAAGCCGGCATTGGAACTTGAGTTTCTTCCTTTCAAAGCTACTGCTCCTTAGAAGGCCACCACATGGCTTTACTCCATCTGCTAGAAAGTAAATGAAGAGGTAAGAGCATGAACTCAAGAACTCTATAATACCGGTAAGCTAGCTCTCCATTTTTACCTTCGTACAAACACCAAGAAGAGAAAAGAAAGGAATAATATGAAACCAAAGCTTAGCATACTCTCTGTATTCCCAGCAAAGGTTTAGAACCTATACAAACCTGTTTACAAGCCAAAATTGTCAAACCAACTCACCAAATATCCTTCACCGAATAAACTGCCGTAACCTTTTCGTCAGCCAAACCAGTGTCACTACAGGCAGCATCAGATTCGAAGCTTGATATGGTTACAAAGGCGGGGAAGAGTTTACGATATTGAATTCTGAGCTCATACGAGGGAGAAACAAGGCGGGGGAAGTTGGTACGTGAGGTAAGGGAATTTTCAGTTTTCAGCAGATTTTGGACAACAGAAAATTAAGAATTAATCCCTAATTTCGTACTAACAATGATCAGCTCGCAGTTTCTTCGTTTGACATCCAAACGAGAAACAGTTTTCTCCTACAGGACCGTAAAAACAAGGAGAATTTTAGGAGACAATCTCTAGAATATTAGAACTTAATTCCCGACTTGGAATCGGCTAAATTAAGGTGTGTTGGGATTAAGAGGACCTTAATTATTCCATCGATTATTTATGCTTGATTTGCATATTTGGATGGATGGATTAGGGTGGTTGATGACTTGGTTGCTGATATGATTATTTGGTGATTATTCTTTATTGTTGTGGATTTTACGGTGTGCATATCAGTATATGACAAGTTTCACCGTAAAAATGGATAGTTGGGTTTAATAAGTTTAAAACTGATCTAAGATATTTTTGTTTGTCTAAAATGATGTTGGGGCAGATTGAGCAGAAGATTTCACTTGAAAATAGTTTATGAATTAAAAACTGCATAACGGTGAATTTTACAGAAAGCTCGGTAAAAACGTGTTTTATTTATCTTTAAGATTTTGAAATGGTAAAAATGAGCTTAATACGAGTTTTGCGATAAATACCGAGTGTAATATGATTGTCATGGTTTTGAACTGTTGAAAAATATAAAAACTAGACAAGCCTATTTTAGGATGATAAATGGAGGTTCTTGCATTTTTGGAGATTTTCGGACTTACCGTTTTGAGGGAATTTAAGTTAGCGTAAAGTAATGGTTAATACGAGATTTTTTTATATTTTATTGTCTAAATTGATTTTTATGACCAAAATTGGAATAAATGGATTTTTGTGTCAATAAATTCATTTAAATGAATTTTGTGAGGATTTTAATGAAGGAAAATGAATTTTGAGTTAAGGATATTCTTAACCGCAACCGGGTTATTTGCAATTATTTGCATCGGGTCTATTTCGTGAAATTGTTGATGAATTTTGGATGAGGAATGGTGATATGGTATTGTTGAGTAGCTTTAATGGAGAATAAGATGATTTATGTGATTTGGTATTGGATGGTGGGATAGTTGATTTTTTAGAAACGTCGAGTTGATAATCGATATATATATATATATATATATGGGGAGTTCTACGGTACCCAGGGTGAAATCCGGGGTACCGCATACCTTGAGTATGAAAACGCTATTTAGAACTTGAATTGACTGATCTTTCGGACATGATACTATACTCTAACCCTTAATGATCAAAATCTAGGTGTTAATTCTCTAAATCTTATGCACCAAGATCAATTTAATTAGAAACAATAATCGACGGTTATG